AAACAGTCGGTCGGAAATCGACCTATTTCTAGTAGTGTTTGATGTCAAGCATGGGGAAAACCGGTCACACCTAGACTTTCAACAAGAAAAGTTAAATGCTAGTCCTCTAGCAATTATACACAATTCAAGTTCAAAGATAAGCCAAACAAATTAAACCACAAGAATTAACAACAATAAGTCTATATCCCCCTTTTCAAACTAAGGGAAAACAACACAAGCTTATCACGTATTTCATGCTTAATTTTTTATTTATTTATTTATTTATTTATTTTATTTATTTTTTTCTCTAGATTAGGGAAATAACTCAACACACGTACTATCAAAGAACAGAACAAATAACATCCCTGATTAGCAAGGAAAAATAGCAATGCCACTAATCATACATGATTAATTAAACAAGGCACACAAAAAATAGCAGAAGAAAGATACTTGCAGGCAACTCATAAAATCAACTAGCAAATAGTAATAGATAAAAGGAATCACTCGTGGAAATCTTCTTCCTCAAAACCACTCACTAACATGAGTACAACCAACTTACTAATTAGTCACAAAATCTAACTCAAATCACCCCCACATAGCTACACAAAACATCATAATAATTAAATTATGCATATTTGGAGCACATGTAATAGACATATTATATAAAGTTAGAATTTAGCCACAACAATAAATTTGAGAGGAAATTTTCCTGATGATTGGCACGAAATCGGTCACCGTTGTCATCCAGCGCGACCTCTCGATTGTCATAGTATGCCAGTTGCAAATAAACACGAACCATGACCAAACTTGTTGCTTGGAAAAACCCGAGAACTATCGCGAGCCTTGTTAATTAATCACTACCCGTAGCAATATCCTTCGACATGATGAGCATTACCTTTCTCAAATTTCCAAAACCTTTTGATCGAAGGTTCCTTGTTGTTAATAAACTAAATTTGGAAATAAATTCCTTGAACTTTCTGACACAATGTCCACCAAGATCACAACATAAAATCAAGTGGGCTGGTTTACCAAAGGTTAAACGACAAAGCTAGGGTTTAGAGGCGACACTTGTCATGAGTAAAAATATATGCGACCAATCATGAAGCAAATAGCTTCTGCCTCTACATGATATCAAATTTATCGAAACTCCTTGCTACAAATTTCCCCTTTTATTGATAGATATATTCGAACAGTGCAATACTCATTAATCAGGGTTCTTCTAGTTCGACAATTACACGCCGCTCAGGTCTCTTGTTTCTCAAGATTGTAAATTGTCCTTTATTCAGGAAATCAACAGTATATAAATTAATACTATTTCGCTTCTATATTGTTGGAAAAATACCTGTTGACTCCATGAATAATATTAGCAAAAATCAAGAACTTCCCTGGAACAAATTCAATCGCCATACTCGAATCAAAGACCTGTCCTCCTTCGATTGTGTCGTGGTTTGGAACTCATTGCCTTAGAAGCGAAATACGCCACCACCGGTACAGGTTTCCCAGTGACGCATGCCCCCCCAAGTTTTACCCAACGACCTTTGCAATTCGTGTACCCGAGTCAAAGGTTGGAATTGCTTGAGAACTGTTCATATCTCAAAAGAGTAGGGTTATATTTAGGGTTTCAAAGAATGAATAATCAATGATGATTTTTGGTTAGTATGTATATACATACACGAGATAGGAGGAAATTATCAAAGGAAATAAAACACACAAAACCGCCTCACACCACTCGTCAAAATCCGCGCCTGCAGGAAAACCCGCAGGTCTGTCCTGTGGCCTCTTACGGCAGCTCACCGAAACTGTCCGCCAGCAGGAAATCCCGCGCCCAAAACCTGCGCCCGCAGTCTATGCCCTTGCGACCACGAGACAGAGCTTTACAACTCACTCATAACAAGGGTCGGGTAACGGCTATGACATGTAGCACCTACTCGCCTGCTTGGCTACGAGCCTAATAGTCTGGATGCATTACTAGAATTTCCAACAATTAGTCCCTAATTCATCAGTGCCCCAACTTGTGAGCAAAATCATGATTATAATTAGTGACGAATTTAGCATATTTTATAAATGGGTTCAAAATATTAAAATTAACTTTGAATCAAATAAAATAAATTTATTGATATAAATCATTAAAAAAAAAATATTTAAATGTATTTGATAATTCCACTTTCGAGAGGTGGATGCTCTCCAAGTATGAGCTTTCGAGAGGTTCACTCTCTCCCAATAACAAACCTCACAATATTCAACATATCCTTATTCCGCCTAATGAGGCTTATTTATATAAAATACCTCCTAACAAACCTTTAGCTTATTTCCCAAGTTACTACTAATAGACTATGACTAATATGTCCTTCCCTAAATATTAATTTCTTGCAGAAACAACAATGTATTTTGCAATGAAAATAATTATAAGTACAACTTTGTTTTGTAAATAATTACTTAAGTGTATATATATATATATATATATATATATATATATATATATATATATATATATATATATATATATATATATATATTTTGTTCATATAATTAATGAAGTAACTCTAATAAATTTATATAATATATATACTGAATTTAAGCTTGTGTAATCCATCAGTATTATTGTTGAAATAAAATTAAATAAATAATATTAAAATTATTTATGCATTTAAAAATTACGTGAAATTCTTTATAAAATGACAAATTACGTATAACTACGTAAATATTATATTGCACATAGTTAACTCATATAATTATGTATATTGATACATTACTTAAAATTTACATATTATTAATTCAATGTTAAATAAATCATTATTTCTTTCTTTTATAAAATATTTTAAAACTAATTTTTAGTTAAAACAAGTGAGATTAATTGTCATTGCTTTGAACTTAGATGCGCCCCTGATTACAATGATCCAATATGGGTCACGTCAAGGATATTGATTTTTCTTGATCCGATACAATCATTTAGGATAATAAACCACCCATCGTACTTTGGGTGTGTTGCCAAAGGCATTTTTACAAGAGACTTAAGCACTCGTTTTTCATTTGCAATAATATAGTCGATGCGTTTCAGACGTATGACTGTTGCACCCTAAGAGTTAAAATAAAAAATAAATAAAAAATAAAAAGTATACATTATTTCCTTTAGAAAAACCATTAAATATAATAGGACTAAACAAAAAAAACTTGTAATACTTCTCGTCTTTTTTGTGGTTCTTGCTTTTTTCCCGTGTACTTGTAATCCTCCTCTAAACTCAACCCGGTCTTTTTAACCCAGTCTAAAGCTACTGGTAGCGAGGAATTCTCAGCATATAATAATAATTTAGGGAGAACTCGGGTTGATATATTGTCTACCAGTTCCTAAATACACAGTTTGATTCTAATTCCGTGTTTCTGATAGTATACGGTTTGCATCCATCAGATACGCACAGCATCACCCTATAGATAAATAGGAATTATTTACCTGAAATATTTCTTAACAAGAATAATTATATCATAATCGATTATCAAATATACTCACAGTTTTCTTATTTTTGGGAATATCAAATGAATGCGTCCAAGAGTGAGAGGTGATTAATTCACCATTCTCACTTCTCTAAAAACAAAAAGAATTCTCACTGTCAAATCATTATAATTAACCCTTATAACACTGATGTACTTCGTATGTAATATGTAATGTGTACTGATGTACTTTGTATTTCAGTTTGCATCATTAGTAGGCTTGACCCGCAAAAGGCCCCAACTTGTTTTGGGCCCAAAATTGTAATAAATTACAAGCTCTTAATAAGACTTGGTCTACATTTTTTATTATTGACCACTAATATTAATAGAGACAAGACATAATTATTTTATTAAAATAAAAAGTCATTATGTGTTATAATAAAGGTTAGTAAATATGAAAGTCATTGTGTTAGTAATTACTGTAACGATTATAATTATTTTAATGAAAGTCATAGTATATTGATCAATATAAATAATTAATATCACTATATTAAAATTAAGGTCAAAGGTTTTAATAAAGGTCACTATGTTAATATTAGGATCATTATAACAAGTTTTTTCCTTATAAAATTGATGTAGGTACAGATAAAGAGGATTGTTGTAGGTACATATAAAGAGAATTTAAGTTGATTTTTGTGATAAATGTGTGAAATATATCAAGAGGCATATTTGACTTTATTCCACTATGTTGAGGATAAAGTTGTCATTTACTAATAAAATTTTGCTACTAGAGTGTTCTCTGAGCTACTACTGCAGGTGGGAGAAGGGGCGGCGAAGCCACCATACCTGCCGCAGAATTTTTCCCTAAACGTTAGTATGACCCTACTTTACACACTTTGCAAGGTGTCGTTTTGTTTGGTCAGTTGGTTTGCAGCTACGAATGTTACTCTGTAATACTACCTTCATTTTTTTTAGTTGACACGTTTTGACTGTGTACACTATTCACATAACCTACTTTGACTTCATTTTTTGATTTAGTGTTAGATATATATACATAATCATGTGAAATCTTGTTAAACTCATCTCAATATCTATTTTCCAAATGTCAAAACTTCATAACTTTTGATAATATGTTGACAAACATGCCTAAATGAAATGCATCAACTAATAACCAGACCAATAAGATCTATTTTGCAATTAAAATTAACCCTTAACAACCCATATTGTGTATAACCAGACCAATAAGGTCCTTTTGATGACCAATTATGAATCTCTATTATCTAAAGGTTCATGAATTTGCTGGTTTTCATATTAAACTAGTCCTTAAAAAACATTTTGATCTGTGATTTAATATAATTGAATATGTAGTATCAACAGCACATTGCGAAAAATAGAAGCACTTCACACAAGGGAAATTTCGCATAGCATTGTGAGGACATTAAACCTACCATCTTAGATGACTGCTGCAACAAATACAATCACATTAGATATAAGAGTTTTCTTTTCTTCTTTCTTTAAAAGGGGGGAGAGGGGGAAGGCAAAGTGGCTGATATTTTGATTTTTTGATGTAACCAGATGGTAAGACAATGCAGCAGTGTGGGAATCGACATGAATTCTGGTTATAAAAAAAGGGTGAAATGGGAAAATTTCCAATCTCTTCAATTTACAAATTCTTTTTTTTTTTTTCTTTTTTTTTTCCTTGCCCTGTATCCTAAAAACAATGGGGCTCGAAAGAACATCGCCCACAAGAACAATCAGAGACTAATGCAACTAATGAAGCCATCTGTCACATGTGAAGGCACGGCAGAGTAACAGGGGTGTTTACATTATGGAAGAATTGCTCCAAAGTTTCTATGCCAAGAACATTTGAGCAGAACGCTAGCCAAGCAAGAATCTGAATACATCGCTCAATGTAATAATGCCTTCAACACGCTTGCTGCCAGCTTCCACAATCACAAGCCTTCTGACACCTGAGGACAAGGATCAATAGCAAAATGATCACTTGGCCAAAGTGAGCTTACATGAATGTGAAAATATATTTTGTAGTATTGGCATACCTGGATTCGCAAGCCGCTCCATGACCTTTTGTAGAGAGTCTGAGGACAAGCACATCTGACATCTTTGTCCATTGAATGCTCCTGATGGAGAAGTAGCGTCTTGTCCTAGTTGAAGTGCCTGCACAACAGCAAAATTAGGTGTGTAAGTAAAAAGCTCAGTCAAGTTATATTAAATATCAGATGAATCCTTTAGCGTTACCGGAAAGTGCTTTGTTCTCTTCATTGTTATCATTTGTGAAATTGGGTGGGGGAGGGAGGGGGGGGGGGTGGGGGGGTATATTAGGCACTATTGAACAAACATATGGAAACTAGGATAGAGAAAGTAACTTAAATACAGGGGGAGAGTTTACAGCAGGGATCTTGTTTAACAAATTACCTGATGAACACTCATTTCATCAAGATGAATTTGTGCATACGCCCTGTCTTTTGCTAAAGAAGTGATATCACTAAGAAAGAGATGAAAAATAATATCAGATGATCTAAATGCATACACAGAAGGATCAACCGTCTAAAATGAAAATAGAAACACAACAATACCTTCGAGAATATATATCCAGTAACGAGTCATTTTCATCAACTATAGGTACCGAACTCACATCCGCTGCAAAATTAGCACAAAACTAACATAAGATGGGTCATGCTGTGTAGAATTATGAGAGTTCTCAATAAAACTCGCTGTTAACTGGCACCCAAACAAAAACAAAATACTGACAAGAAGCATCAAAGACAAAATAACCTTGGACAAGCAAAGACAGTGCAGCCGCAAGAGAGGCATTTGGTTTCAGGGTAGCAAATGGCAGTTGACTTGATTCCCCAATCTTGGGAACCCAAGTACCCAAAGGAACTGAACAAATTGGTTGCTGAAGAATAGGCAAAGAACTGCTAGAGTGTTTAAAGTGTCTGCAAATACCTGGAAAAATAGAACGGAAAGCAGTGATTTATAATTTCAAGCTAAGATGCAGCAAGGAGTTGCAATGGTGGACTTGGGGATAGGAAGCTTACATTTTAGAATTCCAGACAAGGAAGCAAGATGTAGCAGCTGGGGGAAAGAACCATCTGGGGACGATGAGTGTATAATTGGAACTGTGGATACTTTGTTTTGCAAAATTTTCAAAGCCACATCTTTCAATGAATCATAAGGCCCAGCCTACACAGGTTTAAAATGTACAGATGTCAATCCAGCTAACCATATTGAACATCCCTAGACCACTCTATCCCAGCAATTTTTATAAGAAAAAGATCAGAAAGCAGAAAGACTGGAGCACGATTGAAATGTAAACGAGTAAACATTCATTATTCTTTTGAGCATCTAATAAAACATTGCAATTCCAATAAAAAGGACAGTAAAGATCAGTATTCAGATATGTATTATACATGAGAGAAAGGAAAAAGCTTCAGCTCCACGAAATATATGTAGTAAATGCTGAGTATCTCTAAATAAAACCTGGAAGCCAGTTCCAGTGACTAAGCTCAAAATCCATTTGAGCATCTTACAAATCACTTAATAGTTCAAGAAAAAGTTCCTTATTACCACAAATCCATTCACATTGCATAAAGAAGACAGGAAACCGGCTCAGACCAGAATTATAATGCATTTACTAGAGTACATCACTACTTGATATTTCAATAAGAAGTGCACTGTCAATACCAGATGTTAATCCTTTATGATGAATGAAACAAATTATAAGTATCACCAGCAACTGGAAAGAACTAAAAAGACCGTAAAATCTTGTAAGAGAATCACCAAACCTTCCCACTAACAGATCTTTAAGGCAGCAATTACAAAGAAGGCAAGCAGACCAAGACTCAAATTTTTAGAGATGAGAACCACCCGTTCCAACCCACAAAACACATCCTTCAAAAACTCTTAAGGTCTGAGAAGATTTCTACATGGAGTCCTTGGATATAGATTATTTACTGCATCTTAATTTGGAAACACTAGCTGCAAGCCATAAATGCTTCAAACAAAAGCTGTACATATAGGACAAATCATTGCACAGCGGCACCTTCATAAGCTAAAGGCGGAAGCACTTACATTTATAAGCTGTCTGGCATACAGCCTCCCACAACCCTCAATTTGTCTGTTGACACGAATTTTTCCATCTTTCCATGCCAATATCGTATGAGTCTCCAGCTCTTCTTCCGTCAAATTTGAGCCATGATTTCCAAGCTAAAAATTATACAATGTTAATAACAAGGAAAGTATTCAAAGAAACTAACCACACATAAGATCTTCTTTGGGAAGTAACAAAGAATATAATGGTTCAATATTCCATCGAGGACATTATCAGATAGGGCAGAAATTATCAAAGTACAATTAAAAAAATCAGCAATCGCAATGTTTAGAACACAGTAAAGTATATAAGGAAAGAAACACAAGAAAAGAGCACATCTTAGTTATACTACAGAGCTCCAGCCTCAAAGAAAAAAGAATATATAGGATGTCTGGCAAGATTTCGCAAACAGGCGAAATCAGTGCCATATATTTCCTTGAGCAGTGAAGGTTGAGGGAAAGGAATACATAACCAAGCTGAATGAGTATAGATCCAAAGCTATTAAGCTTATTATGACCCACGTCCAAAGTATTGTCTTTTGAATTGAGAAGTTTCTGAACAAAGTTGTGGTTATTCATGGCTAGAAGGCAAACTTGCATCACATGCCAGCATAGATTTTCTCACAAATTTAAAATTGTAGAAAATAATCAAATGAATGGTTTTAAGGATTAGCCTCTATCAAATGACTAAGATCACAAAGTTTCACAATGGCCTAGCTGTACTCAAATAAAGCAAAACAGATCACTCTCGCTGATCTAACCCATGACCAACATGAAGCCCACTGAGCAATATCGAATTCAAAACCTACAACTAATCCAGTTAAAATACTTACATTAACAAAAACAGCTTGACAAAATTTAGCAACATGGAAAAAAATTTACAAACTCAACATCACTGCATCATACTTAATTGAATTATCAAATAATGCGGGTAAGATTCAGCCAAATACTGTTCTCATGGGGCACCTACCAAAGAAAACAATAAAAAGATAGGCACATGCAGCAGGAGGTTATAAGAAATGAGTGATGCACCACATACCTCTCTCAAAATTAGAATGAAATCAATTGCACTAAGAACTCCAACAAAATGACCCTTGCCAAAATCCCATAAAGGAGCAACAGGGACTCCCTGAAAGTAGATTAAATCAGAATTAGACAAGTTGATCATAAGATCGGCAAGTAAAAAGTTGTCTAGGAAGATAGCACCAAGCTAAAACATACACCTAAAAAAGAGTAGTTGATGAACAAAGAAGACAAACAGCTATTAATACACAACATTACATAATAGCAAAATTCTCATCAATGCTCAAGAAGACAAGAATACAAGAGTGATCAGGGTAAAACAATGGAGAAGCGAGGAAGGTAAGTTCAATGTAAAATAACTGGAGATCTATGGGTAGAAGGGAAGGCAATATAAACCTTAATGTACCTAAAAGTGAAACTAAATAAAGGAGATCAAGAATGAAATGTTCCTTTCCACACAAGTCTAAGTGCATACTTTGATAATTCAATCTCACAAATAGTGAATATTCTCTCAAAATTGGAACAAAGGTTATCAAATAAAAAATTAAAATACTTCCAATGTCCCAAAAATGATGAATGAAAAATTAAAATACTTCCAATGTCCTAAAAATGATGTCTACTTAAAACAATACTCTGCACAAGTTTTGAGAAAGATATGCTTATTTGACTCTTTATTCTAAAACATATTATAGATAAGCATTCATGTCACTTTGACTTCTATGGAGTTGATTAAATCATTGGTGACTGACGTAACAAAAAAAATACATACATTAATATTATTAATTTTTTTTATAAGATTTAAGCACAGAACAAGAGGTTAACCCATAGTAATTTCTAGCAAGTTAGAAGTGAAAAAAAAAAAAAATGATATTTCCTTTTTCCCTACCCGAAGAGCTACAATTTAAGTAGAATTAATTTATACAACTCACTGACATATACTAACTTCAACAAGACCCTCCAACAGAGAAACCAGACACAAATATGCTAGCTTTGTACTAAAATAACAATGGCTCTAATCAAAATTAAGGGGCTGAAAGTATGATCTTGAAATTATGTAGAATTCATTTCTATAATTCACTGAAACACACTCACTTCAACAAGACCTTCCAAAAGAGAGACCAGACACAAAGATGCTAGCTTCTGTATCTGAGGGGCAGAATTCATGATCTAGATATAAAAAAAAAAAAAAGAAAAAAAAAAAAGAAAAGAAACGATGACCACCATTCTCACATAAGTGATGAGGTTGCTCAAGAGATCATGAGCCACCGATAAGATAGTTTTCTTTGGAAAATCTTCATACTCAAACAGAATACATATAGACATGTATGTGTATATTTATTTATTTTTTTTTTGAACGGGTTTGTGAATATTTATTTCACTACAGAAGATCACACAAGTCAAACTGCAGATCCCATGGTCAAATTTTGTCTAGACACACCAGTTGCATGCATCCCCAAAGCAGCAGCAGGCACACTTAATCAAGAGAAATCCAGCTTTTTTCTTGGTTACTTCAACTTTTCAATTGAACCCCAGGTATCAGTTTCAACGACACTCCAACTGCCACAGAGCAGGACAAAACGGTCATATGCCCTAAATGAAGATAAAATTGGCACTTTTTGGGATGGTGCAAAATCATAGATCAACTTCAGTATTGCCTTCAGCCCATAGACCCCATACTAAACAAGTTTATTGCCATGAAAGACATCATGATCAAAAAAAAGTTCCAGTTTACAATTCAATATTCATGCCCTAGATCAGTCATATGAAGATGAAACTTCAAAAATCAAGATTCAATATATACAGCATAGTCTGGCAATTAAAACATTGCACATGCTGTAGTCTGGGCATTGTTGTGGTCGTCTTCTCTAGCCATACCTGCATGCATGCCTCAGTCTTTATTGGCAATTTTTTCTATTATGCTTTTCGCGTACAGGATTGATTCATCTCAATTTATTTTTGATTACTTTGGGAAAAGGAGAGTGAGGCATCTGAACCAATCATAAGAAGTATTATTTTTTTCTTCTTCTTACTCCTATCGTTTTACTACATGCCTTCTTCTGCAATCTCATTTACACCTACCAACCTATCAATATTAAGAAGCTAGATAGCCCAATGTTATTTCTTCACGTCTTGGAATACTTATATGGGGAAATTCAATCAGTTCATCTAAATTATCTTTTTAATATTATTTTTGCCAAGAATGCCAGCTTTAATGAAAATTACCTGGTTGTTTCCCATGCATTAAAAAAAGTATATAATATAAATAACAATGTAATTATTTCACCAACAAAATAAAGAAAAAACATAGCACCCCAAAATTGTGACATAATTTAGAGACTGTTTGGTTGAGGGGGATTGGGAAAAGAAAAAAGAAGTAAAATCCCCCTTTACGTAACGTATGAGTGTTCGGTACTTAGGTTGCCTCTTTTTTTTAAATTCCATTTCACCCTTTTAATTTTTGGAGTTCTCCGGTTTATTATCTTTGTCATTACCCAGGCCCCCCAGGACCTATATACCCTGTAATACATCTTCATTACTCCTGCCTTTGACCACCCTAAACTACCAATCAACCCACACCATTCAACAACCACTACCACTGTCAACTGCCAACAACCACCAACCCCAGCGCTCTCACACCTCCAGCCGCCAACAACCACCACCCCTCAGCTGCAACAACCCATGAGTACCTATAACCCACTTCCGTCAGCCACCCCATGTTTGATCACATCACCAACACCATCATTCCACCAGTGAAAACTACCATCACAACCAACCCAACATGCCAATAATTAGCACCTTCCTAACTTTTCTCATCTTCAACATTCACAACATGCCAGCCCACCAGCCATTCACACCAAAGAGCAAAGTTTCAAACTGAAACTTTAGTCATTAACAACCACCAAAGAGCCAAAGTTCATACAGATTTATTCATAGTAATGGCAAACATGTCTCAACAGAGATAAAGGGGAAATTTCTGGTAGTTGTGATGTGGAAGGTGAGGGAGAACAGAGATGCAGGGAAAGAAAATTAAGGCTTCCACGAAAGCAGTAGTAAGAGATGAATGGTGGGAGGTTACGACACATAGATATTGTAGCAGAGGTAAGTTAGGAACCCATAGCTTGAAAAAAAAGTGAAGGTATAATGATTTTTAGGACTTGTTGCCGGTAGATGACTGCTGGAATAGCAGTGTAGTGAATATAGAAGATTTGATTAAAAAATATAATTTTTCCTTAATTCCCTATCTTGATTCCATTCCAATTCCCATGCATGAACTAAATAGCACTTTACAATGTTCCCAAAACATGACATAATGTACCCCTCAAGCTTATCATACATTCAAAACGTATAGTAAAATTCAAACATGTTATATTTTGGGCACATTTTGTATTATCTTTCAAGTAACTACAAGGGTATAGTGTGACTTGTGATAAGATTCAAAAGTAAACATAAAAATTCCCTTTTTTAGGCAATTTCTGGGACTTGAACATGTTGAAATGAAGATGCCAGGCATGAATTAGGGCTTATGATGGAAATCAGTCACAACAAGATAGAAATTGAGAATTAAATTTTTTTTTGAAGGTCAATCATGGAGGCATAGGTGTATGTATAAATTTCACCCAGAAAAGCTGCAAAAGGTAAAGCATTCGTCTTATCAGGAGCTCCTCATCTCTAATCTCTAAATTTATATAAAACTGGATATGACTTGAATGTTTATGTAATTCAAAATAAAAAAGAAGTATAAAAACAGCAAAGACACTGAAAGCCTTTCATTCAAAGACTTCCACGTATGACACAAGAGTGAGAAGATGCCTGAAATAGATTAAAAATTTCCTCCATAACATGACAAAAAGGATTTTCATTAAATTGGAGGTCCATAAAAGACAGACAGAATGGCTTATCAAAAATCAGAAAATGAAGCATCATTGCATCACTGCATCACAAACATGATTTTCAGGCAGTATAGCAATTAAAAAGGTTTTACTCTACCAAAAAAAAAAAAAAAAAAAAAAAAAAAAAAAAAAAAAAAAAAAAAAAACCCTAAAGCTCAAACTAACTTCATTATCAGTAACAAATTTACATTTGCTAAGTACACAGGTAGTAACCAAATATCCAAAATCTCAAATCACTGGGAATTCATTTTTTGCATATACTGGGATGCTGGAAGTATTGAAATCAAACTAATAGTTAGCAAAAAGCAAACATCCAACATGACAAATTTAAAGATACTCTTCCCGTAAAAAAGATTAGATCAATTAATTTAGAAATATACTATATCTTGAATATGATTTTCGTTAGGTGATATTTTAAATAAGACATTGTGCAAGACTTATTGGATAATACCTTCATAAATGTATACTGTAATATTTCAGGACTAAAGCTAGCAAGTAACATTATTAGTAGGAAAAAATTTCTTTATCATGTCCCATGGGAGGCCTTGCATGAGAGCTTGAAGAAGGATAGCCTAGTAAATTCTCATCAACATATTAACCCAAAACCTCGAGCATTTTCATGCCATGACAGGTAAGCAATTATTGCCAAGCATATTCTCCGCATACCTAATGCAAATAAACTAAATTGAACACAGATGGCTGAAAAGCTAGGCAGACAGATAGCCTCGGCCATGATGATTATACAAATTCTTGACTTATATTTAATTGCTTCACGCTCCCATGTTTGGAAAGGTAAAATAGCAAAAAGGCATAGAGAAACAGCAATACAATAAATTACTTTTTTTCTTGACCTTTATTCATTGAAAAAACACTGCTAGGTCATAGTTTTCCATTTTTGGAGGAATCACAAACAAATACAAAAGAAAGCATAATCTTAGCAAGCACATTAATATTAAAACGGCTATCGCAAACCTGTTCATAAAGGATATGAAAAGCTTGTTTAACCGGTAAAGTGACATCCAAGGCCACAACCTACAATTGCAACACAGACAAGTGTCAAAGACCGACCTCATCTAACAAAAGAATGCAAGTCTGGATAACGGAAAATGAGAAGATCAAAGAAGGAAAAATATCCAAACCTTGCCTGACTCTGGCAATAACTCATATGCTGTGTGTTGTGACAAAAACAGAGATATACGATGACGAGAAACCTGTACATCAGCATCTGAAACTTGCTCCCGCAACATTCCATCAGGTGTAGCCGCCTATTGCCATTCATGGGATAAAAGAGGAAACTAAGGCAAAACTCATTTGTTCAAGAACTCAAGAAATAAGTAGATGACAGGATATTGATTCTACTTAAAATACAAGCACATCAAACCAGCCTTATAATTTCATAAAATTGGTAAGTAAAATCCCACACAAATTGATTTTAAGGGGGTAACAAAATGTCATGTTTGTTAGGCACCTAGCTCCAACTCAGATATTAGAAAAATGAAAGAACTATATTCTTCATCAAACAAGATACCATGTACCAAAATTCTACTATCAAGTAATAGCATGGAATGCTACAAGTGTAAACCAATCCCAAAAATTATTAAATTATTTTACACAATACTTACCGGACGAACAAACATGTTCTCATCCACCTCCATGTTGGATCTATCGGGAGTATCAGCACTGAATACAGTAGGACCCATGTCAGAATCCCTCGCTAGAAGCACAGTGTTGACAACTCCATAAGTTCCACTAACAAAAGGCTGATGTTCATCATGACGCCATTCACCATCGACATTAAACTTGTACTGCATTTAAAAAAAAAAAAAAAAAAAAAAAAAAAAAAAATAGCTTCAAATAAACAGCAGGCCTCTCAATACATTCCAGACAGAAATCGAACTTTGGTTATGCAACTTAGACAGGCTGGCAAATCAATAAAATCATTGCCATGCAAACTACTACATTTTACATATTTTGAAAGATTTCGCATGATGTGTAGCAGGGTAGGTATGACAGACTACTCCAAACAACTAACCCGACAATTTATCACTTAAAGCTGTCAAGAAATTGCATAGATCCCGAGCACAAGAAAGTGATACACGGCAATACTCATTACCATGACTAAGAATGCGAGAAAATGAAGAAGACTACCAAAGCAATAACTACTCCCTCTGTCCGCAAATTATGTCCACAAATAATATTCTTGAAATTCTTTTTAGGATGTCCAACAAAAATCTTCTTGTTACTTAAATTGAAAATCTTTACTACTCAACCCATGTGACGTGGATCCCTCCACGAACCACTGTTCTCTAAATTATCACCCCACCCTACTAAATTTGTTAATATGCATGTCAAAACCTAACATGAAAATTATTTGTGGATGAAGAGAGTTGCAAGATTATGAAAAGCATACAATATTCAAATAACAAAGCTCAATTAACAGGGGAGAGGAAGGGTGAAGAACAAAGGAAAGTGATGTTGGATAAGTAAACCTAAACACCTAATGATCTATCTTCTCCATAAAAAAAAAATGGTAATAACAAAAAGGTTGAAAGGATAAGGGAAAGTACATTATTCGAACACCTTGCCCAATAAAACAGCATACAGTGTGCTAATATATGCCTTTAAAAAGATGTTCAGCGATTTTAAGTCTCCATCAAAATCACAGTAATGTGACAATTTTTAGCATTGTGTCTCTTCTGATATCAATGACAATTATATATAAGCAAGTGTTTTAATGACCTGAAGCCCCAAAACATATCCTACCTAGAGTACTTAATAAGCTTAACCACGCACCACAGCACCAGTATAGTTCTCCATGATGATGTGAAACTGGAGATAATCCAACCAATGGTGATTTGCCCAGAACTGTTCTAATTATTCCATCTATGTACCCCGTAACAAACAAAAATAAGGTAAAAAAAAGGCAACGAAATCTGCTATCACTCACCAAATTAAAGCCTTGAAAACAAAACCATAAAAGAGATATAGGAGCAACAAAATCATTAAAAAAAAAGGGGAAATCCGTCAACAAACCTAGGCTAAAAAGTTAATGGTTTCTTATAAGATGAACAACAGTAGGCCAGACTCCACTTCTCACTGCAATTAAAGTTTACAGCCTATTGCTATCTCAACGAAATAAAACTCCAAGTTGATATTTAGTTGAACAATTAAGTGACAAAAGCGACCATGAATTCATGTCCTATTGTGAATAAAATCTCCAAGCACGTGAATGAGATACGTTTATTCTTCTAAAGTTTAAAAGTAAGATCCTGAAATTCTAATTTGAACATATCAGCCACAAGATTTTAAGCTCCCTAAGATTTCTTCCATAATAACTAATCACTTGCAAAGGAAATAAACGGATATAATCATTTCACGGTGCTATACATTCGTGGCACTTCCGCAGCCCTAATTATTAATATGATTTCATCCGACTGCATACAGCAAATGGAACACCATCAAACACTGCCACTGAAATACCAATACCAAGCACGATAAATTGACCACAATCAAGTAATGACTTCAAGTAATAACTTCAACAACCATTTCGAAGCTAGTAAAAAGCACGAATATAACCTGATGATATCCCGGGGTTAAGTTCCAAACAACTTGAAATGCAGTAGGGCACCCCTCCATTGGTGACATGAGAATATGCTCCGACCACCTACATCAATACATAAAAACATCATATTAAAAACCCACTTATAATTCATCATCTAACACCGAAAATAAGGACGAAAGCCGAGCCCCTTACCCGGTGAACGAACCGGTGAGGTAAACCCTCCTTCCTCCATACGGCCATACGAAACGAAACGGAATTAAAATGTTTCCAGGAAGTCCAGTGTTACCATGATTACCAGAATCCGGATTGGATCCAAACATTGCCCCTCAACAACAAATTCTTAATCTAAACAACTTATAATATAATCTCAACACCACCAAATTACAGCAGCAACGACAACAGCAGCAGCAGCAAAATGATTTCCCTAAATTCGCAAAATTATCAACTAAACCTAACAACCAAATACAATGTCTTAATCTTCAACTCATTCGTCGGCCGATTCACCAAACTTCGACCCATGCCCCAATCTCAACTTCGATTATCCACCAATTTAAGCTACCTGAACAAATTAAATTATATTAAATCAAATTAGTATAATTTCATAGGATCAAGCTAAATAAGAACCCTAATTTGAAGTAGAAAATGCAGAAAAAATGACGAAAAATGAGAGAACATTCTCACCGATTGCGAAGAAAATTTACATCGAACAAATCAGAAAATCCCTAATTTGAGGAGAGAGAAAGAGAATAATGCGATACAACCACCAGATCGACGGTTGAAGATGGCGGAGACCACGGTGGTCGTACGGCGGAGATTTTACTATTTTTTGGGTTGATTTTTTTTTAATTTATTTCTAACATATAAAAAAAAGGGGAAATGAAAAAAGAAAATGGAGAGATAAAATAGCGGCCGGCGGCGAAAGAACCAACAGAAGGACGAGATGAAGAAAAACCCGAACTTCTGCTCCTCCCTCCAATCTTATGAATGAAATTTTTATTTATTTTTATTATTTTTTTATTTTGAGGAAAATAGATAAATAAATAAAATTTGAGTAAAATTTTTCATTTTTTTTTTTGTTGTTTCTACCACTCGTGTGTTTCTGTGTTTTGTGATTTGTGGTTTTTTTTACTCCCTTATCTAATTTCTTTTTTATTTTTTTAGGGGTGGTATTTTGATTTTTATTTTCTCTTGTGGGTTTGAAGAGAGATGATTCTTTGTATGTTTACATATGGAAGTGTCAATTTTGGCATAAAGTTTATAAAAATTGATAATAGAATCAATAAGGTATTACTTTGTTGTTTCACAAGAAGACAACCGTGCAGGTCAATCAGATCCTATCATATAGAATAAACAAGGTATTATATGTATATTCATGAATTATAATTCTCAACTCGTTTTTGCCCTAGGGGGGTCACGAACAAAATGTATTCAAAAGCCAATACTCAAATTCAATGCATATTTAATAAATCTTCACATTGACTTCAACCCTCTCACAAAAAAAAAAAAAAAAAAAAAAAAAAAAAAAAATTATACCAAATGCATTGATCACAATGTCAGAACTACCAAATAAGTCGAACACAACTCCTAAATTAGACGGATGATTTGCCCTTGAGGACAACTAATAGCTTCAAATAATTAACAAGTCCAAACAACGTTGGAGTTTACTCAACATAACTAGATTCGAAAACACATTCACTTGGCCTAATGCAAAGCATAACATACACCGAGCTACCGACTACACTAATACATTCCTTGGGCGGCTCTGATATATATTCTCCTCTACAGCTACAGATAGTGCATAAGCCACCATGGCTTCACAACCATATTGTTACACATTGAGTTTGAGGGGGGATCTTAGAATGTAAGTCATTTCTAGATCATGGTTGGTTATCAAGTGGTACAAGAGAGTTGATGTTTAAGAATTGGTTTGCTACATTGGTTCAAACTGGAAATGTTTCACCCATTTCTAGTTTGAGGGGGAATGTTAGATATTGAGGATATGATGTAATTGTCTGCTGGTATATGGTATAATCATCAAAGGATGCAATTCCAGCAAGCACAAACAAGTGGTGTCGTCGTGGTGATCTTGTTTGTGCCAGCTGGAATTGCATCTTTGATGTAGGAGGTCTCAACCTAACAATGAAAGCTACATTTGTTCAAACTGGAAATGTTTCCCATTTCCAATTTGAGGGGGAGTAGTGTTGGAGTTTATGATTTGGTCAAACATATTCTGACTTTGTTTGTTAGTTGCTTCCTTCACTCAAATTAAGTTTGTTAATCATGTAATTAGTTTGGAGAGTATAAAAAGGATGTATACTTTAAGTTCATTTTTAACACACAACATAATAAAAATACACATTTACTCCTTCTTCCTCATCTCTCTCTACTGACCAAAACTCAAGCTCTATTTTAATGGCTTCCTTCTCTCTCTTCTCTTTTCTTCCTCCTTAAACTCTCAATTTAACCCATACCTTCAGGGAGGCCTCCCTAAAATTTGTCCTCATATGCCAAGTAAGAGCCAAATTAGGCTAAATCAATTCTAACAACGACAACTGCGGTGCTTTAGATTTGACGTTGAGTGTTACTAAATTCTCTCTAATGTGGTAAATCACTCTCACCAAGAGCGACTGGTTGCTCCACTTGTATCTCAAAACTACCCCAAACTGACAATGTGACAACAACAGACCCATACAACGTAGATCGTACCATTGCAACACATATAATGTCTCTCATTTAACACCTTTCACTCCTTCAGAACTATCTGTGAACCCTTACAAACATACAACGCTCCACCTTCACCTCTGAAATCAAACCCCTTGATGTCTAAAAGACTTAGTGAAGTCGAATTCTTCATCATGAGTGGAACATGCCTCACATTGTTCAACATACAAATTTAAATCATGTGTTCGTATTCTGATGAAACCTATACCAATCGTATGTATTGTAAATTTCATTATTGGCCTACCATTCCTTATAATCTATAGACCACTCGCGATAACGCATATGATAAGTAGTCCTCAAATCAATAACCCACACATCATAGTGATGCGTATGTTGATTAGCAACTAGGGTAATATATCCTCTTCTGAATTGGTGTCTTCTTTAGCTATAATGACAAATTCAGATATATTATGTCGTCTCATCTTCTTGGGATAATTTAACGTCTCTTCTCTTTACAATAATTACAGACATCATTCGGCTTTATAGAAGAAGATTTTGAATTTCTTCCTTCCCGGAATTCCCTTGTCCATTTCCTTAACTGGCTACTAATCCAACAACGTAACCTGATTATCTGTATTTGTACCTGTACCAGACATCTTATGGCGTAATTCTGTAGCATGAAGAGCAAATCTAACCTCTTCTAGTGACACTATATCTTAACCAATACTAAAACATTGCACAAAATTCTGATATGACAATAAATATAAAGTTCTCAACCTAATATGAATTATAGTTATATAAATATTCCAAAAATACTATAAGTAATAGCAACTTGAGACTTATACAACTTAAAAAATTAATGCAACAATATAAACAAATAACAAACTCTGATTTTACATTTATTGTATAAGTGATGCAATTTTTATTTTGTTTTTGGAAAAAGTTGATATTAGTAATACAACTTTTGAAATTTTTTCTGAATATAATCTCGCTTGTGAGTTAACTTAAAACAAGCTAATATTCAAATATATCTTCTCAAAATGGTAAGTCTGATCACAATGTCAGACCTACCAAATGTATCGAACCAAACAAATTTGTTTGCCAACATAGAAGTATAAGTGTAATACTTTAAAAAACGGTCGCATTTGAAAAGTGTAACACTTAAAAAAAACGTATGGAGTAACTATTTTCTCTCCTCAAGTATACTCTTTTCAAACTAAATTTAACAAAATTCATTCTTAAATTTATCAAAAAAAATAAAATAAATGAAGCCGATATCTCATATCTCTAACACCCTCCCTAACACGAACGTTACAATTGGAAATTCTTCACTTTGTTGAAGCCGAGATACACTAATTTGGTGATGTCACCTTCAACTTTTTTTTTTTCAACGAGAGAACGTCATCTTTTTCGAACACATCAGTCATCAATCAAGCAGGAACGTCATTCTTTTCGAACCTGCAAATATAACATTACAACGAGAACGTCTCTTCTTCTCGAACTCGTCGTATTTTGGTTTTTCCTAAGCAAAATCGAACTCCAATCAATATTGGTTTTTTTGGAGCAATCCACACTCAAATCTCTTATTAGTTTTATTTTAGAGCAAAACCAAACTCATATCCAAAGGAGAAAAATCATGATCGAATCAAATCACAAATCCTGTCTCACGGCACAAGGAGAACCAACAAATAACCCTGTGTCACGGCTCAAGGAGAACCAATATATCTTGTCTCACTAGACAAGAGAGCCGATTTTTTTCTTTTTTTATTCTTTTTATTTTTTTTAATTCATAGGTTCAAGCTTAGACCCTTAATCACCTCGTCGACTACACAAACTCACAAAAAAATCTCCTTCCATGATTAATTTGAGCAAGCAGCACAAACCACAAGCAACTTATCTTAGTCTCGATAGAACAAAAGTCATGTGTGATCATCAAGTGATCAAATGCACTAAACAAGATCCATAAATATTTGGGAAAAAAAATTCTATAGTTTTGGCTAAAGGTTCATCCCACCGGTGGGTAGGGGTTTTGTGAACACTCCAAGATTTAACTCTCTCTTGATACCATGACAAATTTGGGTGAAAGTGATAATAGAATGACTTGTTTATTATTGATCAATAGGTAGAATATTTATACAAAACCTACACTCATAAGATAGGAAACAATCTTCCTAAAAGATATACTAACATAACCATAAATCCTAAAAATATATTCTCTAAATAATATCTTAACATCAATAATGAAAGGAATGGTGTCCTTCCAACAAGTGTATTATTCTGATAGAGGGTTTAGAATTATTACAGAGCTAATTCTTCAGTAAGGTCAAGTGATCGGAATGCCTAGGTGGAGGCCGCTTCCGGTCAGTAATATTAAGGTATAATTAATATTACAGCTTAATCTTAACTGAACCCTTCGGGTCGAACCCAATCGAACTACCGATCCGAGACGACGAATTAATCCGAAAGGATTTAATGAGTCGATAGAGTTTTACGAATACAGACGTCGGATATCGAGCCTAGGGCGTCGAGGCCGAGCGTCGCAAAATCACAAGCGACAAGTACGAGTGTAGCCGTAGCATCACAATGGTCTAACCATGTGGATGCTAGGCTAGTTCGAGCTAGCATGCACCTAGCATGGCTAGGCGCAAGCCTAAGCACACTAGGTGTGCTAGGCGCACCATCGCTGGCACTAGGTGCTGGCGTGCGTGCGTGCCTAGCATGGCAGCACCATCGCTAGCACCAAGTACTAGCATGGGTGCTTGCCTCGCATCAGAGCACGCTAAGCGTGTGCGAGTGCCTAGGCACCATTGCAGGCCACACACACCAAGCGCAGCCATCGCAATGCTGGGCCTATGCGTATGTGCGTGTGCTTGTGCCTAGGCCTATCGAACCATCGCAGCACGCAGCCTAGGCACCATCGCATGCCTAGCACCACGCACAGCACCATCGCAATGCCAAGGGCTTGCGTGCGTGCGTGTGCATGTGCACCATCGCCCAGCACGCATGCTAGGGCCTTGCATGCTTAGGCACGCTGGCTGGGTTGGCTGTGCGTAGGGTGCGAGTGGCTATGCGTAGAGCGTGTGCGAGGGCTGCTAGTGCGTGCGAGGGATTGCGTGGGAGTGCTAGGGGCCAGTGCCAGCATTGCGTGTACCAGCGCCCAGCACTAGCACGCAGCACCAGCGCCAAGCATCGCCCAGCACCAGCACACACTGCCTGGCTGGGGATGCTACGCAGCTGGGCAGTGCTAGCAGCCAGCTCTGCCAGCCCAGCAGCCTTGTGCCGGTTTGTTCATGATTGTGGGGACTAATCAAGGGCCTTGGTGGGAAAGGCAAATGGTCCCCCCACCTAACCTTGGTCATC